CTATTGTTTGTACTGTAAACACAATTGAAGCTGATAATTTAACTTCAACATGGTTTTCTTTGGCTTGCTTGTTTGGGATCAAAGTTTTTATCCTGAGTTTAACTGATAAGCAAAAGCTCTCTCTTTTCTTTTTTCAAAGAAAGTTACAAATGTTTTCCAAGCATAGGTCCTTCAACACAGAACTGATCTTGGGAAATAAGCAATGTGGCGAAATGGAACATGAATTAAAAAATAGATTAAATGACATTGTATAAGCACATGTGTTGGAAGTAATGGTGCCACCTTCAAAGCACAAAATAAATAGGAATAAAGGTGCAATGAGATACCTTGATGTGGTATTTAATTTATTTAGCCATTGATAGAGCATTACCCATAGCTGACTCCTACCTACCATTACAGTATGTGCTCTTCACACTGCCATTAATGGTGTTACATACAAAGAAGCTAAGCTGGGGAAAATACACAGCTAAATAAAAACCCACAAACTAACAAATTAAAAAAAACAGCCCTTATTCTCTCTGCCCCTGAAGAATAACTTATTATAGAATTTACTGTGGTGTCATATGTTGGAGTTAAAAACTGGATGATCCCAATCCCATGTTCCTGAGGTTCTCTGGTGGCACCAGCTTCTCTTCAGATGTGACAAAAACATGGAATAAATAACTCAGCCACGAACATCCACACAAGCCCAAAGCCTTTAGCAACATTTAAAACAACGGGTGAATTTTCTGAAGTGACCAAAAGTGCTGTGTCTACATCTGCTTCCAGTGACACCAAGGCATGCCACAATCATCTTCAGAACTCTTGGGGTTTTCCCAGTGATAACTCTTCAATCAAACCCACCATGTTGCTCCCATCAGTATCATTCTGACATCACCCATGGTGAAGCAGGACAGTCCTACCCCGAATTTCAACCCCACTCAGCAAACAACAAAGCTAAATTAATTCCAGCAACCCTTCTGCTACATTACCTAATCCAAAAGATGCCAATGAAGGTAATGATCTAACTAAACTGGTTTAATAAAATCATAATGCTGAAATAAAACATTTTTTTAAATTGAACTGGAAGCTTTATAAGGCATGTGAACTTAAAAGCGACCTAGTACAGACTAAAACTAAAGCTCACCCCCAATAAAACATGTATTTTTCAAATTATTTACTCTTTAATTCATTATTTAACACTTCCCAGAGTGGGAGAACCTAGTGACAGGCATGACCTATCTATTAGGTAACAGCTATTACCTATTACTTGAATGGACCTTCAAAGCATACGTGTAGAAATTAGATTTAAAACATATAGCACATCAATTTATTAAAGTTCAGAAACTTTTGTGACCAAAGATGACTTCTTATAAACACTTCCAAAGGAATTATTCATTGTGCATTTAATTACCAAGTTAAGTATGCGTGGGAAAACAATGGAACATAAAACTGTCATGGCACTTTTCTATCCTGCTCTTCTGAATCAGGTCTTCAGAAAAATAAAAGATTAGAAGGCACAGTAATTTCTTGCATTAATTAGCTTTCAAGATTTTAACACAGGACTGAAAGTACAGTTTGTACTAAGAATTAAGGATCATCAGACTTTCATGTTTCCCATCATAGTTAGTACATAGCTAATAATTACAATGTACCTGATTTTTAGGTAACGTTGACTGAAAAGGAAGGAGAGTTGGAGAGCAAGTTCAGTTCCAAGAAGAAAATGAATACCCTGAAGAAAAGTTTTATGAAATTTGAGGGACATGAGTTATCATCAGAAAATCATGCATCAGGGCCCTCATCTTCTGCTCTCCCATATGTCAGAAAGCAGTTAACTGGACTTGCATGTGAGGGATGCTGAATTAAACCATGAGGTACTCAGCAGAGTGATTCAAATTTTTCAATAAAAAATAATAATTAAAAAAATTAATTTTTTTAATAAAAAATTATTGTGTTATTACTTCAGTTCTTCACTAAGACAACTCCCTGGAACCATATGTTGAAACCATGAGTTTCAGAGGCGCATCAGATGACAAAACCAGCACAACAGACAAGACAGGGGAAGACAATGCAGGGTGCCCATCCAGTGGCATTCCAATGGCTGACATCACACCACCCCACTTATATTCTTGCCTGCTATCTACACCCTCTCATTTCTTCCAAAACAAGCTGACAGTTGTTACCTTACAGCCATCACTGTGTAAACAATGTCTTGAAAAGCAAGGAAAAATCACAAGATGCACCAAGATACAACAGGCAGGGTTCAGTAGCAGAGCATCAATCATCTACTTTGTAATTAAATTATCAACTTCTGGTTTTCCTGGAAGAATATTATACTTGCTTTCTTAGAAATTAAATGTACAGAAATAGCAAGCAGGTAAGATTCTGCTTTGTGTAACTTTGGTCAACAATTTAACAGAGAAAATTTGACTAGGATTACAATGATATTTTAGTATAAATGCAGAAAACCATCCTCAATTTAACTACTTTCAAGTGAAACTATTCTATCCAAATATAATTTCTATCTGATAAATGACACAGGTCATTATTTTCCCAAATGTAAATTTGTGAAATTTGGGTTAATTTGTAATACCTTCTTCAATGAATACTACAAGATTTATTAGGTTTACTTGGATTATTTAATTTGGATTACTTGAAGTTTGCTGGAGATTGGAATTACTGAGTAAAATGAGTTACATCTAACCTTTGACTAGATGACACCAATTTAAAAGAATTATCAATGAAAAAATGGTGACAAGCTTCCATTCCTCTGTCAAACAGATTTGTTGTTTGAATTGCAGGCTAGATCTGCAGAAATTACTTAAAACGTGTCAGTACAGATTAGATAGAAGAAATACTTGATATGAGAGGGAAAAAACCTCCTATATCTTTTAGGATATAGGTATCCTAAAAAGCATGGTACAGTTCTGTCCAGCTAAAGAGTAAAATTATGGCAGTATAATGCAAATAATTGCACAGTTTATTTGTTTGCAATTACCAGACAAGTCTAAAATAGAAAGGAACAATTGTAAAGGCACAGAATAAACAAAATAAAGTGCAGAGAAAACTACACATATGTGATATCTCCTTGTTATCATGCTATGCTAAAATGCTTTTGTTAGTGGGGAGACTGTGGATCACATTGATGGAATGGAGTTATCTCACTAACTGTCTGTGAATGTTGCAGTGAGATTTTATTCAATATGTGAGTAAATTACATGCACATACACTCCAGAGAGAAATTGTGTCAGTCACACTGAACATGGGAAAAACAGGTATTTATTTAAAATATTAAAGATTTCAATCCATACATGCAGTTTTGCCATTCTTTTCAGGTTCAGTCATAAAAACAGCGTAAGTCCCATCAATACCAGAACCTGATTTCTAACATTGTATCCAGCAGACCAAAAATCTGAGACAGATTCACCTATATTACATGAGAATATCACTCTGATGCTTGAAATGAAGAAAAAAGTAAAGCTCAGCTTTCACCTTCCTTAGCCTATATAATGCCACCTTCCCTGTGGTAAAGCAGTGTCACACAAGCAAATTCTTCCTTACACTTGAATCCTGGCCTCAGCTGAAAATTGAGAGAGCTCTCTTGAAGGAGAACTTGAAGACAGAGATGAAGAAATGCAAAGAAGCTACCTGTGTTATCTGCACCAATTACCATATAATTAAATGCACAGTATTTTAGGAATTTTTGAAAGTAATAATTAATAATTGGAAGGTAGTAATAGCAAGATTAGCAGTAAATGATTTGATTACTGAGGCCAGTAATCAAAGTGTGCCCTTTAATTATATCATGTTGATTTTTAACAATCCAATCATAATTTTTGTATGTACGGGGATGTGCTTCTGTTGCCCATGTAACTATTTGATGTTATTTTTATGTTGTTACTTGCTTTTACCATGCAAGCCTCCAAAATCTGTGACATTTGTTCTTACTTCACTTTAAGTTAGAATCATAAATACATAAACAGATATATAGATATATAGATATAGATATAGATATATAGATATAGATATAGATAAAGATAGAGATATATATATAGATATAGATATAGAGATAGAGATAGAGATATAGAGATATAGATATAGATATAGATATAGATATAGATATAGATATAGATAGATGTAGATAGATAGATAGAAATAGAAATTGAAATATAGCTGTTGTGTACCATTTCATTCAAAACTGTAAAACTCTGGCTTGAATGCAGACAGTGCTGTGTATGTGAACTACTGTAATTAAACTACAAAGACAATCATGTACATTGGTAGAGTCAATTGTCTCTGGTTCTACTCTTCTTCCCTATTTCCCAGCAGCAAAATCCTATTAGCTGCAGTGAAAGCTAATTATAGCAAGAATTTCACACTGGAACCATTAAATCTGTCTTTTATGGCACTATTACACTGACCTTCTACAAGAGGCAAGGCTGTTCTTGGTAACTCAACAGAGTCCTCTGTGGATATCCCCCTGCTTGACTTTGAGCCCCTCAACATGATGTGTTTGATGTCAGTGTGAACATAATGAGAGATTCAGACTAAGAATTTGAATGTAAATACCTTAATTGCAGTAAGCACTTAACATCAAACCTTTCCTATACTTTCCTCTAATTAGCTCCTATAAAACCATTTTCATTTATTCTATAGAAGTCCTCTACAAGATGTGATTTTTATATTGGCTCAAGAGCAGTAACTTAACCTACATGTTTTCCTCTAAAAGGATTTTGGCCTGAATAATATAAAATTCAGGCTTAAAGACATTTAGGACCCTAAAGAAAATCATTACATTAGCCATAAAAGGTATTACCCATTACAGGCATAGAAATTCAAGTTAATGAAAATGAAAAGAATTAGTTTGTGTGGCAAAATCATAATCCTTCTTTAACTTCTATCAAGAGCTATAATCTCCCTTTCTCAGGTAATTATATAAAAGGATCAGCTGAACTAAAAAACAAAAACAAAACAAAAAAACAAGCAAACAAACAAACAAACACATGTAAAAATGTACTTACCCCAAATTGCCATGAAAATTGCAAAGAAGACAGTCCCTCCATTATCAAACAAATGTGTAACCTGAATAAAAAAATAAATACATCAGGAAAAAAAAAATACTGCCAGCTCATCTTTTGCTCCAAATAATCACAGAGTACATAACTGGTGGCAGAAACCAAAAGCCAAGCATTCTCAAAAGTAGCACTATTAGCATGTTTCTTCTACCAAGGTTTTCAGTCACACTCTGACTTCTGGTATAATTTGAAATCTGCTGTTCCAGACTATCACTTCAAGCATCGCCAGTCATTTTGTTTCACAGACACTGAGATGTTTTGTTCATGTCCAGGCAGGCTAAAATTTCATCCAGAATTCTTGTCATATGGTAGGTCAAACTTAATCTCAACCATTTCTATTTCAAGGTTTTTATGAGCTAAAAACAAAACAAACTCTTCACTTTTCTCCCTGTACATACTTACTGTCTCTTGATTCCATTTTGTTCTTCTACCTAGATATTTTGCAATTTCTCTGCAGGTAAAAATAGCATGTATTCCTTTTAATCCAGACACCTCAGCCTCTCAAATTGTTGACATTCTCCTTCTTAAAAGGCTTTTGCTCCTGAACTCCAACAAACATTAAATTGTTTCTAAATATCATTCTGCAGAAGTGTCCATGATTCTAAACTGTGAAGTTAATTTCCTCCATGAATGCTCTTTTCTTAATTAGATTTACCCTTTATCTTACTCTTTGTTATAAGATTTTTGGTCAGAACAGCAATTCAACTGCAAAGTCTAAGGCTTACTGATTGAAAAAAAAGTATTGAAATAAAAAGTGCTTATTTATTTAGTCTTAGTTCTATTTATTTGTTCATACTTAATGAAAACAAGTATTGATTTCAGTAAAAAATTAGGTTTTGCATGCCTTTTAAACATCTGAGTGGGTGAATTTGAGGTCTCACTTATGAAAACACCACAACTTATATTACAAAAATCTGAAATTTCTAATATTCTGCCCATAATATTAAACACCATTTAGGAAGCTGATAAGAACAATGTCCTTTCAGTAGATTTAAGATTACCAATTTATAACAATGTAATTTATCCAGGGATAATGTCCCTACATTTCTTCTAAAAAAAGGTGGTTTAAGATGTTGCTGGCAATTATTAAGCAGTGCAGAGGCTTCAAATTCCTATTTGAAAAGCTTTTAAAAGCACAAATCACTATAAAATACTACAGCAAATCAACAACATCACAGGCATATAGAAGAAGACCTGAAGAGAGAAAAGGAATGAGAAAGTGTCTCTGATATGTATTGTTCTAAACCATACAGAAAATTCATGGTGATTTCCCACCACCTGAAATAAGAGAATGTCTTGAGAAGGAATATCAATGAAAAGACTTTCCTTTCATTGATGTTGACTCTCTTGCTGACTTAAGAACCAATTTTTAAGTTTTATCATGAAAATAAGCTTATTGTCCTTGTGGCAATGGAAGGGTGCAGGTAACCAGAATAAGTTTTGCTGTACTGTGACCTTCTCTTACACCTGAAGTTATATTAGCCAGCAGGAATGTTCTGTACAGGTGTGCCAGGCTTCTGGGGCTGACAGCCTCCCTCAGGCAGGTTACCTAATCTGCCCCTACAAGGGAGAATTCATCCTGCAGACAGATTTTCATTCTTCTAGAAAAGGCCAGCATTACTACTTCTGCCTCAGAAATTAAGAAAACTAATGTATGAATGCAGAAAAAGTTTGAGACTGTGTTTCTTTCCTCTACTTTATCTCTCATGGAGTAAAATTATTATAATATTGTGAGAATTTCATTAAAAACATATATTTCATCTGTATGTCAGTTATGGTTTTATTTTCTTATCTTTTTAAGGTTCTTGAATGGAATTGACTATTTGGTATTGGAGATGAATAAATCCAATATGTTCCCTGCCAGGATTACACAGTGGGATCAACTGTCAATCAAACATGTATTTTGCTTTTTTTTTTTCTTTTGCTTCCATAAAGGAAATTGCAAACATAATGGGTATGAGACTGAAAATATGAGAGGAGAACAAAATCAGCTCAATAAATCAGATTAATATTATTGGGTTTTAATGCAAACCTGTGTGAAGATGTGATCTTGGATATTCTGCTAAGGAAAGAGTGCATCTTTCCAAGAAAACACAAAATGAACCAACCAACCAAACCTAACCTGGTGGAATTAATGTTGCTAAGAGTAGAAAACAAATACTTGCTTCCTGATTTGGCACTGTCTTGTTATAGTGTTTAGATGAAAGTTTTATAGCACCACAAACAAAATTAAGACTTGACTCTCTTAAAGGCTAAATGCATGGTGTGAGACTCTGCTGATCAAGAAGATCAAGAAGGCCTCTAAGCAGAGCAGATGTCACCATCAGATAAGATTTCAGGCCCTTCATATCCACCCTGAATCAACATCCTGCCCCAAGTCAGGGCCAAGGTGTGCTGGGTGCAGGACCTGCCCCAAGACCGTGCAGATCACCACGGATCAAAGAGTCCATTTAATGTGGATGGAAATGACATCCTGATCATTCAGCCATTCAACTTCTAGGCAGGTATTACCCGCCCTTCCCTAAAATTATAAACATCACTTCAGTGTGGCATTTTTAAATGGAAGTGGGAGGGGATGAAAGAAATGGGCAGGAACAAGGAAAAAGGCATCTTCTGCATTTTGTCTCTAGCTTTGCAAAACCTTGGCAGATAAAGCATTTGGAGTGTATGATTTTTTTTCCAGCATTAATTAGTTCTGTCCAAAGTGATCCTTTGTAGGGAAACTTGGTAGATATTTAACAAAGAACCCCTGACAGCAGGTTTAATAACCCGAAACATGAGCACACACCCCTTACATAAATGAGGCAGGTCCCAGGACATAAACTAATTTGGGGAAATTAATATAAATTAGAGGAACTCACTGTTCCTAATTAAATCAATGTTTATGTACTCTACAGTGAGCTAGTTGAATGAGTAAGGATTAAAACACTTATTCCAGAATAAGCGTGCTGATTCCTAAAATTATTCACAAATAGCTTCCCTTGCTTATTAACTCTTTGGTTATGTACAAGGTAGCCAGAGAAATAATGTTCCCACAATGACAAAACCAGAGGACAATGCTTATAAGCTCCATCTAATGAACAAGAAAGAACCAGGAAATGCCATTTTCTTTTCCAGAGAGCAGATCCTATCCCTTATTTTTAAATATATTAGTTCCACTTACTTATAGCACTAACAGTGCTTCAGAAAATACCATTGATTTGAAATCAGACAGAGTTTTCTAGCATTACAAATTGTTTTAATTTACTAATTTGGGTGCAAACACAGTGGAATGATGACACATATTTAGGTATTTGTTGCTCAACTTGAGCAACATGGTGGTAACCAGCAGAACCACAATCCCTGCCAGAAACCAGGCAGTCCATAGCAAGAGGTAGAGTGAAGCTTTCTTTAGAGACTTCACAATGAGTGAAGGTATTACATTATGACCTTTAGAAAAAAACTTCATAAAGCTGTTTTTGTTGGGTTGGGTTTTTTTGTTGTTGGTTTTTTTTTTTTTTTGGCTGTTTTTTGTTTATTTGTTTGGGGGTTTTTTTTTTGCCATTTGCGTGGCCATATGGTAATCCTATTCCTTCCCAAAGAGAATTCTCTCTCTCCCCCAGTTGGTGGAGATCCAGAACAGAAAAATCCTGAAAGGAGACATTTTTTGTTTGTTTTCTGTGTTCTAATGTGATGTTGATCAGTTTTTCAGAACAAAAGCACTGGCAGGAAATGCTGGGAGCTTACATGAATTTCCATAATTGTAGACACAAAAAAAGAGTGCCTGTGATGATGGAATGTGAGTGGTTACTCCTTGCCTTCTCTGCTGGAATTTGTTGACAACAGCACTTACAAGCAGCAATTTTTCTTTTGTCAGAGAAGAGGAAGAAGTAAGGATATGTGAGGGGAAAAACCACATGGTGACACCAAGGTCAGTAGAAGAAAAGGAGAGGGAGGAGGTGCTTCAAGTGTTGGAGCTAAGATTCCTCTGGAGTCTGTGGGGAAACAAACTGTCCTGCTGTAATGCATGAAGTCCACAGGAGACACAGAGATCCACTCACAGTCTGTGGGAAAAGTGCTCACGCTGGAGCAGGTGGGTGCCAGGGAAAGCTGTGATCCAGTGGGACACCAAATATAGAGAGAGAGTCCCTGCTTCCAGAGATAGAGACAGAGAGCCCTTCCTTCCAAACTAGAGCAGCCTAGCCTTAAAAGACTGCACCCCATGGACGAGTGACCCACACCACAGCAGTTTTGGGAAGATTGTTTCCCCGTGGGAGGGATGCCATGGCACAGCAGAGAGAAGACTCCTCTCTCTGAGTGAACAGAAGATGATCTCAGTGAGGAACTGACCAAAACCCCCCATGTGATGTCTCCCAACACCGTTGGTGGAAAAGAGGGACGGACTGGAGGGGGGAAAAAAGGTGCTTTAAAGGCTTATTTTAATTCTCATTATCTTCCTGTGACTCTGTTAATAATGAATTTGTTTTATACCATTACATTTGATCCTGTGACTCTGTTAATAATGAATTTGTTTTATACCATTACATTTGAATCTATTTCGCCCTTAGAGTATTTTTCTCACAGTCCTTAACTCATGAGCCCTTCATTGATATTTTTTCCCTCTCCTCTGCCCAACTGTAGTAGGAGAGGGTAAGCAAACAACTTGTGTGGGTACCTGGCATTTGGCCAATGTCAAACCATAACAGACATTAAATGTGAAATTTGCATGATATAAGCACATCATGTCAGTGTAAATATAAATAAGACACAAAACCTGCTTCTTATTAATTGAAGATGTTAAAAAAACAGGATCTACAGATAAAGGGATTCCACAATTTCAAATAAATTAATTTCCTGCTAAAACTGCCATGGATTTCTGAAGAAGCACTTATCACCTTCTAAAAAGAGGCATTTCTGGGATGGGTTGTACAGCTTGCATAATGCTATTTCAATTGAGAAAGCTTTTACCTTAAGTACACATTAAAAAAAAAAATTTAAAAAACTTACAAATCCTCTCATGGAACTATTTTCTGTTTTATAGTTATAGTAGTATTTAAAAACAAGAACCACTTTTTTTTTAAAGTGCAACATTTCCAGTGGTATTTATTGCTGTTGTTACAAAATAACCTCTTAACTTTTGCATTAGAAAATAGAAAATTAAATTTGTCAGTAGTAAACATAAATAATTTTAAAAAATATTTTCACAGATAAGTTTGAAATGTTCAGTTTTACTCAGCATTGGTCCTATCTATAAGAAATTTTGACATCTAATACAAAATCGTTTTTCTCTTTGACACTTCCGCAGTTTTTTCTGTAATGCCATGGCAGAGAGACAATCATGTTTTATAAATACAGGCTTCTGAGACAGATTTATTCTATGGGATAAGGAACACAAAGATAAAAGCCAAGGCTGCTTTTCCAGCAGTGTGAACACACCACACATCAAAATACATTGCTCACCTGCAAATTCTGCATGTACACAGAGGTCCTTGCAATTATTTAAGTACCTTCTTCTTCACAAGAATAGCTTCTTGTAGCAAAATATTTCATTGTATAAAATCTTTGCATTAGTTTGACAGAACAAAGCAGGAGCAAAAATTCAAATTTAAATTAAGGAAACAGATTAATAAGATAGTTATAGAGGAAAGTAGGAAAAACTTTACAAAAAGTTTTATCACTAAGTCCTCACAGGAGACTTAATAAGTTGATGAAAATAGTAAGAATTTATTAATAAGGAAATGCTCACAGAAAGTAATTTTAGAAAAACCCCAGATAATTTCAGAGCATTCCCTTATTAGAAAGATGAATTACAAAGGCTGAAAACAACATCTGTAGAGAAACAACCTGTTTTTCAGGAAAACTGGTTGAAGAAAGGGCAGCCATTATACAACCAAAATTATCTTGATAATAATGCAATAATTACCTTGGCATATATGCAGCTTTCATTGAGTTTTTGTAGTGTGCAATTGCGTTCACACATAGGGCACATAATGGTTTCATTTGCTTCACAGATCTCTTTGCTTTAGTAGGAAATAGGAAAATAAAGGTTATAAAAACACTTCTAGCATTCCCAAGATTTTCTGAGGTTACACCATTTATGTTCTCTGTTTGTTGACAGCACGTGCACCACAAAACCGGACGAATAAAATAAATTGAAAGTGAGTATTTGGCTTGGAAAGCCTAATCCCAAATCAAGAACCTGAATACTATGAATATATAGAGTAGTACACAATACTTTTGGGCATCATGTTACACTTTCCACACTAGCAAATTCTCTCCCAAATATCACAAACAGAAAACTAAAAAATTGCTCACTACTCTTCAAATGCATTTACAGCCTATTTTTCTAAATTATGTAGAAGATACCAAACATTCATGAGGATAGACAACACTGGTATATTTACACTGATTTCAATCAAATGACACCATTTGTATCAGCTGCATGTTTGCTCCACAGGATAGTAGTACACACACTTAGATCAGTCACATGCAAAAACCCACTAATGGGGATTTCTGGCAATAGTATTTAAAGTCTTTGCATTTTTATTTTCTACAGAATAAGTTATGTATAGGACTAATGAAAAAACTCCACTTTAATGTCCTATTTTGGGGGTTAATATCTGCAAGCCACATTCTGGTGTTTAAGACTCCTAGGATTTAAGAAGATGAAGACACTGTTTTCACTGGGACCATTTGTATTCAATGCATAGAACAGAGCTAAGTGTCTCAACAAAGGCAAAACAGAACTAACAGAAGTGAAAAACTGAATTTTAAAGCACATTTTAAACTGCAGTGACTTCCTGAAGAACCTCAGCAACCACCTTTCCCTATCTTTTAGCAATGATAACGTGCCTGAAATGATCCTGACACACTAGGGAAGTCGCAGTATAAAAAAAGTGCCAGGAAATGCCAACTAATTTGTTTTAATAAACATGGTGCTTTCATCTCTCCTTCTCATAAAAGCTGTATTTACATTTCTAATTCTGTTTGGAAGATCATGCTTATTTCTAAATGACTGTATATGTTAAACAATTTCTGGCATAACAACAACATAAATAAAATATTAAATGTAAATATTAATCATTGGTCATACTTTACGTAACATCAGAATCACCAGTTCACTGAAACTCTAAACAAAATGTGAACCTGACAAATAAATCATCCTGAGTAACTCTTAATCCAGAATGAGCACACCCAGACATTGCAGAGTTGCAGAACAACAGAAATTTTAACGTGTGTTGCATCAGAGAATTTTCTTACTTACATTTTTATTCAAATTATTGAGTGCAAAAAATCACATTTTAATCATGTTATGGTAATAATGGAAACTGCTATCAGTCATAAGGCCAAAATGAACTGTACTTTGAATTTAAATTCAAGATGATAAATACTGCATTTTCTCTACTATATATCCTGAGTTAAAATGCTGCTTTGTTTTTAGTAACACATGAAGTTTCACAAAATCATATTGACAGTGATAGGTCACATGCTTTCACACTACTTTGCAAAAGCAATAACATTTGTTACACAAATGTTTGTGACAGGTGCTGTGTTAATTGTTATTGCAACTCCAGTCTTCAGTAGAAGAGGAAAATAAGCTACTTTGTACTGTTTTCACCATTATATCTGAAATCTGTCTAAAGCACATGGTGCAAAGACAGCTCAAGCTATGCTGTGCTCATGCCTGGCATTTCTGTTTGACTGGCAATAAAGGAACAGTTTACAGCAGTGATAATTAATGATATCTATAAACACATTCAAAACCAAACTCTTTCAAGCCATCAGATTTACTTTTATAGAGACTAATAGAACTTGGGAATAAAGATAGGCAATAGATATTGCACCAATTTGTTCAAAGAACCCAAATGAAGGGATTCCTACAGGACTATTTAAACCCTTCTGCTTGACTATAACTTCATATTTCCTCCAGTTTAGGTCAAGGAGGGCCCTTGGATCAAAATCTGTTTTAAAGTGTATGAAACAAATACAATTCATTCATTCTTCATTTTTGTTTCAGCATGTCCAAATTCTATTAATATAATCCAAGTGTCCTGGGAGCTAGTATGGAGTTTCTTGTCTTTGAGAGATGCCAATGACACACCTTTCTCTTCCACCAGGAGGAAATACTAAGGGAAACCTTGATAATAGTAGATTATGGCCCCTTGTTTCCCCTTTGTTGGAACTGTGCTGTTACACATGTGATAAATACAAGATTGACATTTCAATAGCTGTGGTCCCTGTGCTCTCAGAACAGACTGATCCTTGACTTTAGATCCACTGCATTTTGAAGACATTAATGGTGAAAAACAATTCTAATACAGAGAATATCTTAAAGATAGCATAATTTCCTGGCTGTAAAGTTTATTGCATTTAGCTGTATTTAATGTGATTTGAATTCATACAGTTTCTCAGGAGTTTCCTGTACAAAGCAAGCTTTAAAAGAAGTGCTCATTACAGCACTGCAGAATATAATAACTCACTGTGAAACAGAAGTTAAAGAAAACTCCTTAGATAAAACTTCGTTTTAAGTATATTTAAGAAATTTAAGTAGCAGCATTAAGTATATTTAAACTTAAATACAGTCTTACTCAAAGCCAGAGAAACAACATTTTCTATGAAAACTGACTAAGTATTCATACAGCCTAAGCACCCAAACTGCTTGGAGCAACAGCTGCAGTTGTAAGAGCACTGAAACTGATACTGATACTGTCTGATAACATTTAATGGAATACTTTGCAGTGTGGTGGATCCTCAGCGAGTTCCTAGAAGTACAGTCAGCACTTCAGCACCCTCATCACAACATCTAAATTGACATAAACCCTTCTCAGAGGAAAATCAGAAAAGTGGGAAATTTGAAAACTTGGTTCATTTCACATGGTTATAATCTCGCTGAAGCTGAGTCTCCTGGCTGCAAGTTACATTCACAAAGATAAGAATTTTGTTAGACTCCAAGTTTCCACTACTAATGAAGAAGGAAAAAAAGACATAGGCAAAAGTTTAAGTTTAGCAACTGCACTAAACTTTGGAAGTTATAGCCAGATGGAGGTAATGAGGGAATATGTCTGTTTTTTCACTCATTAGCCTTAATTAGATTAACAACTATTTCAGTAACTGCAACATGAGAATTGGTCCTTACAGACTGGTTTGTTTTCCCTTAGTGGAAATCACTGCAGATGCAGTGATAAGAATGGTCAATGCCAGTGGAATACATCTGTCTTGATGCAAAACAAATAAACAAAGTGTAAATAATTGACTCAATTTTCTATTTTGACCCAATATTCTATTTTGGTTATTTTTACATTATTACCATATTTGCAAAACATTTAAAAATATAGTAATATAAATTGTGCCAAACTGTTCTTAATTTTCAACAGGTTATTACATATTTTTAAATAGAATTTTACCTTACTTGGCTGGAATCCATTGTAAATAATCCATAGAGGAAAACAAAGAGCCCAACCAGGGCAGCAGGAATAAGCATTCCAGTATACCATCCCAGCCAGGCAAAATACAATCCAATTTTTTCACCAAAGTATCGCCTGCATGAAACAAAAACACATATATTGTTTAAAACTAGATTTTATGGTGACATCCATCTATCTATCTATCTATCTATCTATCTATCTATCTATCTATCTATCTATCTATCTATCTATCATCTATCTATCTATCAATCTATCTATCTATCTATCTATCTATCTATCTATCTATCTATCTATCTATCTCTGTTGTCACAGTGGTAGAATAATTCTAACAAGGAACTACCACAACAAATTTATGACAAAATTGTCACTTTACCAAACAGATTTTTTTCAGGTTAGCATAACATTTTAGTGACACTGCAGATTTATGAGAACAATTTACTGTAGTGACTCTGTAATCTTCATGTCCTTGCAATGACTAAGTAGATGGACTAGTAGCAACATTAAGATAGATAGATAGATGGATGGTGGGATGTCCACAGAAACAAAAAATCTGGAAAGGGATAAAGTTAGTATGACCTAAGTAATTTAAAAAAACATTTATGGTAGATAATTATATATAAATAATATGACATATTTTGAACTACTGTTAGTGAAAACAATGCTCTGAAAACACAAGCAGAAGACTGAACTCGAATACTTCAAAACTTGGGTATCAATTTCTAGAACAGATGAAATAGCAGTGATCAGAAAGTCAATCAAGGATGATACAGCATAAAATTGTCCCATGGCACATGCTTAGCTCCACCAATAATCAGTTAAAACTTACAGCAAGGAAAATGAATTATTGGTATTCAGTGTCAGAGGAGGAAACTGTGAACCCCAAATATCACCGTTGTTTAATTTAAATTATATACATTTCTCTATTTTACATTTGGTAACCAGTAACACTAAATCTAAGACATATAAATAAGAGTTTATTTAAACCCACATGGAAAGGTTAAAATTGGGTTGCATTTTAAGTCCTGTGCATCTGGCAACTCTGACTGCCCATGTGGATAAGGGTCTGCTCTCAAAGGTGCTTCCACAAGGCACACGTGTCTCTGATCAGCTGACCACATTTTGGGTTTGTATTTTAACTTACACACTGCAAATTCCTGAGCAGTTGGAACTACATGTACTTTATGCAGAGTCATTTGAAATGAACTTATAAAAGACCACCAAAAAGAAGCAACTTAGGAAACTCCAGCCTTATCCAATAATAGGGAATATTTAAATGTTATAGGAAAGCATAGGGAATTTATGGATATAGTTAGCACACTGTTGCCAGGCTTTCTGTATCAGAGAAAATCTTCTAAGTACTAATACCTGATTAAATCAAGAGGTTGGTATTTGTACCACATTCCCCATCGTGCCCAGCGCTCATACAAGAGGTGTCTGTGATTCTGTGCTCCATGTGTTTTGATGGGATGTCTGCTTTTGTGGCTTCCCTGAAAAAAAAACCCACAAAGGAATGTAAGTACATTACTAGGCACTATGGAAAATGTATAAGTTTCTTAGGTATTTTTGATTATAAATTTTAAAAGAAATGTTCCTTGATAAATAGGTCTCATATTCTGGGCACATCTGGAACATGTCATCAGGAGCCAATGTAAGCCTGACATAAGAGACAGGGTTACATTCACTTCTGAAACCGCCAGTTTCTCTAATAATTAATGACTGAAACATATTATTAGTGCAAGACTTTAAAGAAGTACTCAACTCTTTATATGACCTCAACATTGTTTCTATTTCACTAATAGAGGCCTACTTGTATGCTTTCACCTATTTAACTGTTTTCAAGAAATGCTTGTGGTGTATTGTGAGGTTGCAATGCAAAATATAACTAAAAATATAAAAAAAATATAAATCCATATAAATATAAAATAAATAAAATATAAAAATATAAAAGTATGTATTTTATAGGTGTTAAAACCAGTGTTCTTTCTCCCTTACATGACCCATCCCTCATAACTGGGGGATATCTTCTGTTAATGGGCCATTGAGTCTCACTGCAGGACTGATAAAATTACATCATCCCTTTGGGAGATGCTCCACCCAGGGGAGGAGCCAAACATTCCTGCCTGGATATAATCTGAAATCTGGAACACCACAGTCAGCCTTTTCCCACTGGATTCCCAGATCAGACTGTTCTACATCATTGCTGGACCTTCAGAGGAAAACTTCTACAGGATCATTGCTTCAACAGAACCACATCTGTCACTCCAGGACTGCAGCCACCATTTAATCACACTGCTACCAACACCCTGACCAACAGGGTGTCAGGTTGTATCCTGACTCTGTCAGTATTTTTTGTACTACTGCATTTTATTTTAATTTTCTTGTTAAGCTGCAGGGGCTTTTTTTTTTTTTTTATTTATACATACTAGTAAAGAACTGTTATTCCTACTCACATATCTTTGCCTGAGAGCCCTTTAATTTCAAAATTATAATAATTTCAAAGGAGAGGGTTTACATTTTCCATTTCAAGAGAGGCTCCTGCCTTCCTTTGCAGACATCTGTCTTTTCAAACCAAAACACATATTTTTATTTCTTCTATAAAATTTTAGAAATTTCTAATATGTCAGCTCCCTTCTAGATATTTTCTATTACTTTCTTTCACTACTGTTGAAGGTATAGAAAAATATATTTTTTCTATGATACATACTTTCGAAGAGGAAGGAAACAGAATTGGCATTGTTTTGAAGCTACATAGGACTCTTGAGACATTAAAAGCAAAACAGAGTCAGTCTGATCCAAAAGGAATCCTTCCAGGCCATGTCTGACATTTACAGATCACCTAACAGCCTAAAAGGATACCCTCATGCTTGGCAGTCAAAAGGTAACACACAGATTTGCTAGAACAATCTTGAGCAGAATCCCTTGCATTTGTAATTTTGCTCCAGTTCTGAAGCAGGACATATTCCTTAGTTGAACTTTTTCCCCAAAAAACTTCCATCACTCAGCTATAGTAAAGAAAATATTTCATCAATTGACTGCAGGTGAGCCAAGTCATTTCTTGTGAGGAGAGTTTTCCAGCCTGTACTATTTAGATTTTTATCATGTATTTGAAATATTGAGCATTCCCCACAATTCAAAGAACACCATTTACTTGTTGCAATCTGCTGATTCTCTGACCTAAGAATAAGTTAAAACCAAAGCTAAACATAGCAAAGAGTCCAAGTCTACTCCTTTCTCCTTACAGTCATCAGAGCAGCATACCAAAGATGTTAACACTGAGTGTGACCTTTGCAGCATCTAGGAACACCTAGGAAGAGAACATCAGCTTATTCTCACAGCAGGCTGGATAAATGACTGCAAAGCATTACCCAGTATTACATGTTTTAATTTTTTTCCTGCTTCTTTCTGTATTATTATCCATAAAATGAGTTCAAGTCTCAGCATTCCCACTGGGATTGAACTTTCATCCTTGTTTGTTCATGTGGGAAAGAAAAAAAAAAAATTAAAAATTGAGTGTTCTACCACTAGTCCTTAGCATCAGTCAAGCAGCAATTAAGAGTGGCTTAAAAATATGATTTTACTAATTTTAACTGAGATGTGGAACAGTAGCTTATGCCACAACAAAGGAACATATAAAATAGATATGACAGCACAGCTTTGATGCCAGAGGAAGCTTCACAGGCTTTTCTGGTAGCAAAGCCAGCTTTTCCCTGAAGTCAATAATGCACAGCTGAAGCATTAACAATGATGTTACATTATTTATATAAAATATTCCTTCTCTGTATTCCTGGTATTTAATAATTAAAAATGAAAGCATTTAATAATTTAAAAATTACTCTCAGCCATTTGTAAAGCCTTTGAAACACAAAATCAAGTCACAATATTCAGCTGAAACACCCAGAGTTCAGAGCTGCAATTACCATGTTCCTGAGAGCATTTCAAAGACTTGTGTGGCTTGCTTCTTCTTTTCAACATTTCAAAAGATTTTCTGAAAACCCTCTTAAGTCATACCCAGGTTTTTAGTTTATTTTTTGGGGTTGCAGTCTTTAGTAGACTTTAAACTACTGAAAAAAGTATTGCCAAGTAGAAATTATCCAGAACTATTCTGAAAATACTAAACAGGAAATAATTAAGCAGTCTCCCTAACTGTGATCAAGTGGCCAAGCTATTAGAAAAACAAAACCTTTTGTAGGTGGCAAGCAAATGTAATTTAATACAACTAACTGGAACAAATTGGAACAACTAATTCTCTCCTTAAGAACTCAACAGGCAATGTCCAGTTCATAAAAATCAGAGAAGAATTATAATATCCTAGTCCAACCAGAAAATGTTCCAGGATGTTATAATATCCAGATTATCCAAATAAAGTTTGCAGGCAAAAATTAAAGTAAAATCCCAAGCCACTAGTGCAAGCTTTAATCTAAATATGAAGCTGAAAATCAAATTAACCAGGTTACCTCATGTGGTGGGAATGCTGCTTCATATGTTCCATTATTTAGTAACCTATTAATACCTAAAAAAATGCAAAACAGTGTTAGTTCTGAATATCAATTTTTTTATACACATTTTTCAAGTAGTGTGAATTTTCAAGTTACATTTGGAGAATGTAACTTAGTGTTAAATGGCAAGAATGCTGCTAAAGATGACAATAATTCCCAAAAACTACTTCATCAGGTATTACTGATCCTTAAAGATTTCTGGTTCTGTCAAGCTAAACACCAAAAACTTGCCAAAGCACAAAAGTCTGAAACCTCTCTCTTAGTGTTCTCTGGAGTGTTTGTACCAGATTGAGAGTGAGAAGATAGTTACATTCACATTGTACTCCTCAGAGCATATAATACAGATTTTATGGGTGACCAGATGACCTGATATACACAGAGAGTGGTATCTATAGACAACCCTTGAGGCAGTGAAACCCCTGCAGAGTTAAAAGCTAACCTGGTATTTTTAAATATAAGCCAGCTGAGAATTTCATATCAGAGCCAGACTGCTCTCATCATCATCTCTGTGCCAGACTGACTATTGCATTTTGGATCAGTTCCTAAAACCAGATTTGTTGTACTTGCACAGCACATTATAAAAAATGAAAAAGTAAATAACCACTGAGAGGTACAATAAAAATATTCAACAGCCTTTAAGAACAGATTTGTAGCCAAAAGTTTTCCCAAGAAACAGGAATGTATGGTGCAATACAGATTTGTCTCTTCAAATATACAAATTTTTTTTAATCTCATAATGAAATTTGTCATCATCAGCTGCAAAGGTGTTAGATATGAACACTTATTCTCCCTTTTTTTTTTAATACTGCTTTTGTTCAGAAAATCAAGCAACAACTTTCTGTAATTGGTATCATCCAAGCCTCTGCATATTTAATCCTTTATTTAATTCCTGCAGAAAAACCAGAAAATCATGCATACATCCCTTGGTCACTGAAAATGAAAATGGGTATTTAGAACTCCTAAAAACTAACAATGTATTATGAGTGTTGAAATAAACCAAATTTAGTCTTCATATCAGCTGTCTCTGAGACCTCAAATAAATCAAGCAGAATCACACATTGATTCTGCTGGACTGAAACTGATGGATAATAGCTGAAATATTAGGATAGATTGGAGCAGTCCTTGAAAACACTGTCAGCTTTCTGAGGTATATGTAACCCTTACTGTGGCTATCAATAATGTAAAGTTATGATAATCTCTCCATTTTATTTTAATGAATGAGCAATTAAGTTAGAAATACTGCAAATTTTCACTGAGATATTTAGGTAGAAAATGATGGGACACTGCTTCAACTCTGTTACTGTGTGAATGGAAAGATTTCAAGAACAGGAAAAAATTAACTGAGTTTATTCAACTGATAATTTTTCAGGCAATTAAAGATGAAAAAATTTATAGCTTTGGGTTAGGTAAAAAATCCAGCATTCTCACCCATTTTGGATTTTCCATCTTCATACTTCGTTCTCTGTAGCACATGATGCACAATTCTACTTCTTGTGGAATTGCTGAAGAAGCTGTCTTTGTTGTTTATTGTAAAACTATTAAAATAATGAATGTCTTAATATTCAAAACAATGCACACATGTTGAAAGATTGCTGTTCAAGTGTTTTCTTTTTACAATGATTTATTCGATGTTTACATTCCTTAGACATAAGATTTTACACCCTTACAGCAGGTTGAATAAAGTTACCCTTATCACAGATTATTTTGGGAAAACAAAACTAAAACTAAACCCAAAAATATCCTACTATCTAGTTAATTTCTGTTCTGGATATAATTAATCAAATAAAGATCTTCAGTAACAGCGGTGACCTTAAATTCAAATTACTTATGAGTTGATAGCTGTCTGTGTAGTGGAACCACCAAAATTACTATTTAAAAACAAAAAAAAATAAAAATCCATGCACTGGAGACTTGGTTAGAAGCTCCACAACCATTTTCCCTTAGGGGATCCCAAGATGGAGCCAAGTAAAGCATCCTTGGCCAGATGGCTCCATTCTGGACACCAGAAATCTGATATGCAGGAGCTTCTTCCTGCTCAGCTGTGCCATAAGTGATGCTATTACAATTAATTACATAGCTGAGCTGATTGAGAAGAAAACACCCAAAGCAGGGGATTGATCCAGTGCAGTATGCTAAGTTACTGAAAAAAGAATAATAAAAAACGAGCCTATAATGCAATTACTCTTTTTCTGAGGTAAAGTCAGTTCGCTACAATTTAGCTTCTATACTGAATGGAAAAATCCTGTTTATCCTTATTCAGATTTCTACTTTAAATTAACTTTTCTCTCCTACAACAGTTATCAAAAAGTAACTTTAAAATTAAGAAACAGAATTTTAAAACCTAACTTTGTAGGTACTGAAAAAATTTATTTCACAGTTTAACTACAGCATCATCAACATGCTGATTTGAACACATATAGCTTCATTGTATATATATATTTGTATTTTCAGAGGCAAAAGACCTTTTTAAATGCAGATCTGATAAGAGAGAAAAATCATCACTGGTTTTAGCTTGCTTCCAAAAATTTGGTGCTCTGAATTTCAACAGCTGCATCAGGTTTTGCCTAAGTAAAATAAGTAATAAGCACAGAAAACTTGAGCAAGTAACTTGCATTTTGTAATGTAAGGGAAACAAAACCAAAAAACTTCTAAACTAAAATGGCAACATTCACTTTTTCAGTCAGTTTTCAGATTATGTTACTGAGTGGCCATCAAACAGCAAGTAACACAGAGCAGATTTTCACTTCAGGAGAGTAACATCAAATATGATACTTGCTATTGCCACTGACCATCTGTTAGCAGCCACCTCTATGGCACTTGCTTAGAAGTGAGAAAACAGAAAATCCTTGTGGTCTCTGGCACTGTTTTTCCAGTGCCAGCACTTACTGGTGTATTCGTGCACGGCTGAAGGGCGCTGTGTAACAATCTGTTTCTTCCAGATCAGGCAGGGCCTCCTTATCCAGCTTCATCGGATTTCTCGGCAACCAACTTTTCAGCTCTCTAATATTTCTCTGCAAACTGAGACAATAAGAAGTCAGATTTACATGCTCTCAATTCCTGGTTGTTTCTATCTCCAGCATTGCATATTTAGTGAAATCATACTAGAAATGAAATTAAGTGAAAGTTGGAAAATTCCACATTTAGCTAATAAAAGAAGGTGTTTAAAAGCAAAATGAACAATATTTATTTGCAATCCATCTTGAACACTTTACTTGAGTAAAACTTATCCTAAAATTAGTGGGATTATGGCTCAAAATGGGACTGCAGTATTGAGTCTGGAGAAATAAATTCTCCAAGGTAATTCACCTGGAAGAACTGTGGATGCTTCTGCTTCAGTCAAGAACATACCTAACCACACCGAATAAAGCAAGTGAAACTCTTCCCTGATCTCTTGCCTGCTAATATGGACACTAAAATTCATAAAATTTTTAAGTAAACTTGGGAGTGCTAAGGATCAGATTATGTTTTTCAGATTGCAACAAAGTTTTCCCCTGCAAAATTTTCTTAAAAATCCAAGAGCTGATATTGCCTTACGAAACTATACACCTAAATATCAAATAAAACAAAGGATATGTTACACCAAAATGGTTATGTAGTATTTAGGCAAAAAATCCACCCAGATATGGCTTCCTCCAGATTCCTAAAAATTCATTATGTAGGAATTGTGTTCCTACATAACACAAATAACATCAATGTTGTATCTTCAATTAAATTATAATTTTTTATTCTAATTTTTATTTTATTTTGTCTACTGGTACCTTGACTAAATGATGTCTCAGGGTATCATTTATACACTGGGAAATCTAGTCAAGTGCAGTTAAATTTCAAGCAAATGCTCACTTCAATTTTGTACTCTTTGCTCACCTATATTTTTTCATATGCAACTACAGTGCAACATGGTTATTTAAGGAGTAGATCTCAAATAAAGCAAATGCTGACACAATAAATACAAATCATGACACAATAAGCATATCAGAGATTCAGAAAAAGTCTAAATTTGAGAAAAACATTCCCTAAATAGCATTTTTTCCAGTGGAATTTGGATTCTACTCAGTGAATATATATGCATGATATATAAAGCATATATATTATTTATGTTTTATATCCACAAGAAGTGTAAAACTAAGCAACAATTTTTTTTCCCTAAATACTTCATTGCCTGTGCTAAACAGAAGCACAGCTACACATTTCATAATGCCCATAATAAAAAGCTATATTTCATAATGTTAATAATATTTCATAATGTGAATGAACATAATTTCATAATGTTCATAGTGAAGTGTAGTAAGTGATGATATGGTAAATTTCTCTCAGGCAACAAAGCAACCCTTGTGAAAATGCACTTCTTATTATCAACACCAGCAAAAACATTCTACTCCTATTTCACACAGATATAAATTTCAGCCAAATGTTGGAGAAGGATTTTAGAGTCACATTTGAAATAATCAAAATTTTCTTCTTGCTATATATTGCAAGCTATTGGTGCACATTCTGTTGTGACTGATACTGTACTTGAGGGACACCACTTGTGCTCAACACCAACCATTATAAGCTAAAGAACATAATATGTGCATGAAATTGAAACACAGAACACAGTTCACAGGCAGGTGGATTCCTTAAGTGTCTCCTTAATAATACCTTAGTGAGTTGATTATCTCTACTAGTTCCAGTGAAAGTTCTCTTAGTACAGTTTATATAAGTGAAGTTTCCCCTTTCTTCTCTTGAACATTTTTTTCTGTTGTACACTTGCTGACCTTTTAGTCAAAATCCAGAATCCTTTTTTTTTAATGAGGAAAATATGCAGATGCATCAGAAAGAAAAGAAAAACAATGTATCTAATTTCAGGTTTTTATATTATTAAAGTACTTTAAAATTGGTTAGGGGATCTTACTGGTCAAGTCTTGATCATTTCTCCCATACAAAAATCTAAAAAATAGTAGATAAATATTATGTTAAAGAAGATAGCTCTTGTTTTAAATTCATGGCTGCTTCTTTTAACATGAAAAGCAGCATTGGAATAAATTAATGTTTGTGTCCACATAACATTTGCAGTTTCTCTTCTAAGACAAAATGTAGTGCCTTTAGTGCTAGAGAGCATAGAATACTGCAACTCAGAAATGTATAAAAATGATCCAACAAGAGAGACATTTTTTCTTATGCTATTTACTGTTGAAGAAGAAACATAATTTTCATGGAGCTTGCTTTTAAATACAATTTTTTGCCTAAATCATAGGACTGAGTATTAGCATTTTTACTCAGAGTGGCTTTCTAGGTTAAAAGTAGCAGTTTAAACAGATGCCTGACTTAATCTATTCAATATAGCTTATTTAGTAACAGTAAAAGCAGAGAGAGCTGGTCTGGGGAAGTCAGTAGTTCAGGCAATGAGATAAAAAAAAGTCCCAGTGGTATGGGAGACTGCTTCAGGTATGCTTTTATTGAAACCACTCCAGCTGGTGCTACTGGAATATCATGCACCTTGGAACAAGGGCTATTACTTTGAAATTCATGTGTGTTTCACTTTTAGCTGTACAATTTAATATTTTATGAAGACATTTGTAATTTCAGCTTTGTTCAACTTTCATTCTCAGTTGTACGCTTCTGATTTATTTGGTTGGTTAATCTTTTTTTTGCAGAACAAGTTCATCCAAAAATCCTTGTAGATTACATTTACCCTGGACTGCAATGCAAAGGAACACCATATATAGATTCTCTTGGCATTGGATGACTAAATTCATGGTATGAGACACCAGAATAAAGCAACTTCACCAGTCATGTTAGGGATTTCTGACAGCAATCATCATCCAGTAGTAAACACAATGTTAAGGGCTTTTTAAAGGTGTATAAATAAATATAGAGACACCAAACAGATACCACATAAAAGAAATTAAATATTACATTTTCTTTGTCCTTTCATTCATGTACCTAATAATCTTTTGCAGACCCTTTAAAGAACATTTATACATACTTACATATCTATCATATAACTGTGTCAATAAAGTTAGAGAAGTGTACAAGTCACAGGAGGTCTAATATACTAGGGTTACTGGATATTCCTAAATTATAGAAAGTTTATAACCTTAATGTTTTGATATACAAGAATTTTAATACAGTTCTTCATTGTAGCTCATATAAACTCAACTTAGAAATTTTAATAAGAGATTTAATAAACCACAGAGTAGTTAAGTCTGAAAAATTTTAAGATGCAAGGTAACAATGACAGGTGTAGATGTTAAAGTATGCATGCTATGTCTGTCAGCAGTTTTAGAGTTAGCTTTCAATTTTAAATATAGCTTCTTTCTTTATTTCTTCTGTTTCACACAATTCCTTTGTGCAGTTATATAAAGTGCCAGAAAATATATGCAGAAAAATGTTCATACTCAAAGGAAATCACAGGTAAAAACATTTATCTCAAATACAAAATCAATCTGGCATGAAAATTACTTAATACTCAATTCTCAGGTACTTTGCAACTTAAGTTGCATCTCTCAGACATCTGTCCTTCTAAATAAGGAAAACAGTATTTATGTAATATCCAGGACTCACCAGATGGTTTATAGATGAAATAAGACAATTTTGAAGTAAAGCTTGTTGATTTTACCTTTTATTAAAAGCGTATCACTTAGACTTTTCATAATGCATGTAAAATGGAGCAAGCATGTGAACCAGGAAGAGGACAAAATGCAGTTGTAAATCTATGTTATAAATTGGTTTATTTCAACATATTTTATTAGTTTATATGTTTAAAGTTTTCTCACTTTACCATTCAACAATCTGTTGCAGCTAGCTGATCATCTTGGAAACTGCTGAGACTCACTAAACTGTCCCAGAGAAATGAGAGCTCTTTATCATCTAAAGTAACAGTAAGAGAACCTAAATCAAAAGCAATCTTCTCACTCCCTAGCACTCCCAGGCTCCTCTCACCTGCCCCTAGAGCCTCTTGTGCCCTTCTGCTGCCTGACAAAAATACTAACAGCAGCAGCAGCAGCAAGCTACAAGGGAGTTTGGCAAGTTACTCTCTCAGCCAGAAAACAAAAATTCAAAGCAGCCTTCAGCATGTGGTATTGATTTGTTCCTGATGATGAGGACACACAGGAGAAAAAGTATGTTTGCATATCTAAGGAAAAAGCTGACTGCCAGAATCTGAGAAATACACTCAAAAGTATCCTTCATGCTAAAGAAGTATGCCTTTGTGTCAGCAGATATAAAGGCAGAGGTAGATCTGGTATAAAATCATTGCTGTGAGGATAAAGTTTTCAGTTTGGTGGTTTTTTTGGGGTTTTTTTTTTCTTTCCCTGGCATAAATATTTTTACATCTCTAAACAGAGAACTGGCAAAGCTTTAAAGTACTGCACCTTGTTATGGATGAATATTTTAACACTTTGAGCTGACATATTTTGAGGTTTCAGGAAAATAAATCTTATTTTCCAAGTTTCACGGATAAATTTACAACTGCAAATGGGTTTTCTTTAGCAGGGTGGCTATCTGACAAAATTAGAAGCTACATATCACCCACCAACCTGCCCATGGTTTTGCTCCTCCAGTCAGTGTAATAACATTTTTTCCTGAAAGAAAAGCAAAAATCAGCTGATATTAATCAAGTAGGAGACAGCTGAAAAGGACATACACATCAAAAAAGAATGCTAGACACTTTAAAACATAACATTTTCATAGACAAAACAGTGAAAAACACTTTAAAAAGGCAACTGAAATAGAATAAGTCATTACAATAACATGGTTTCACATTTTTCCAGTTTTACTGTTGTTTAAAATTACATTTTAGGTTTGTAGCTACTGACAATAATGATAGCTAATCAATAAGTCACTTAACAGTTCTTTTCCCTCCACCCTTCACTGGTTATAGACACTTAGAGAAACAAGACCAGAAATTCCCAATAAAGTCTTCTGAGATCAGTTGTTTTGAAACTAAATGGAGACATATTTGCTGCATGGTTATATTTTCCATATCTAGTTTCAGGTTTTCTGGCCCCCTCCCATAATTTCACATCACATTTTAACCACATAAATGCCTTGATATTGCAGATCCCTCAGGACTTGGCAAGATCTGCAACTGCACACCTGGGCAGTTTTTGAGATTTATTAAAGTACATTACTGACATTGAAGATCCACTGAAATTAATGCATTAAAAAGTGGGTGAAAGACACATTGCCTGGAAAATACATGGCCATTGGAAAATTATGTTTCTACCAATCTGCAGACTGTTGGCAGCCTGACACTTGGTTCTGCTAGGCAGAACGGTAAATGGAGCAATGAAATGTTATTAAAGGGTTTTCAGACTATTTTTTTTTAACAAAAGCCTTCTTTAATTCCCTTTAGTTACCTTAGCTGTTTTGTACAGATGGAGTTCAGCTAAATTACAGAAACAGTAATAATTATGTGCCAGAAGATACTTGTAGACAAATAAAATTAAAGCTTTGTCTCAGTTCTGAAAACATATAGTAGTTGTATTTCTATTGACAGACCATATCCTTAGCAAAAGTACCTATAAAAGCTAAAAAATTGTAGTACAGTCATGATTTAACTTTGATGCTTATGCAAACCCTGTTTGAAACCATATACATATGTTTCCAAATAAAGTAGCATTGCAAAATCAGCCTTATATACAGGACAATAATGATTACTACACACTGTCTATAGAATTTTTTTTAAAATTTCCTTCTTCAATTGAAACACTGAGATTCCATCTATGTTACCTATATGATACATATATATCTGCTACACATTTTGGTATAATGCAATGCTAAAACAGTTCTGGGGCTGTAGGTGAATCTCAGAAGTATTTTTACTTTTCAGAAACAGAGGGAAGTAACTAGTGTGATAATAATTCTGTTGATTTTGTTTAGATTCCTTGATTGAGCAAAATGAAACTAAAAAGTTTGAATTTAATTCTTCACATGCTATTCATATATGATATTGGCATGTGGTATATTTTATAGTGACCATAACTAAAAGTCAAAATTTTGGAAGACTGCAAGAACAAACGGGTATACTCCATTAAAATACTGCAGGGAAGCTTATCTGTCCTCTTTAACTATGTACTAGAACCAGTCAGAAACCACTGATAAAACAGAAAAAGCCTAAGAAAAATAATTTGCTTTTTAGAATTACAGAATATTTCAAGTAAGAAGGGACTCACAAAGAACATTAAGTCCAACTCTCTCCTCCTCTTAGGCCTACTTAAATCTACCTAAGGATGACCTAAAAATTTTTGGGAGGAAGATACTCCAGAGTAACCATTAATTGTGGGAGAATTGGATCATTTGAGGTTACCTCAGGAAAACAGTACACCATCCAGGTAGGAAAGGTTTCATTAAAAAAAAAGCAAGTTCAACACTCTAAACACAAGTGTTTTTTAAAGGATACAAAATTAAATTATACAAGGTGTGGTTACAGAATGCTGTTAGAGGATTGTATATGTATATTTTTTATTATCCATGAAAATATATCCATATATATATATATATATCCATGAAAAATTACCCATGAAAAAGCCATTTGGGTAAATATGAACAAAGATGAAGACCTGAACTCTGTCTCAGCAAGTTTCTAAAGCACAGCCTTCTATAAATGGAGAAGGTATAATGAAAATCTGCTCATCTCCTGTGGGAGACACTTTAGAAAGGCTGCTGGCAAAACAGGGCAGACTGTCCTTCAGTTCTGCTACATCCAGTTTGTGTTCATAACAGAATTGTGTTGAGTCTTCTGTTTTAAAAGGTATACAGATTCAAGAAATATACTGAAATATTCACACAAGTTTTAAAGTGCAATTTCATTTGAATTTCTATTAAAATACTTTTAAACATCATAGAAATGTTGACCAATTTACTATTTCTCACAGTTCTATTATGGAGGCACAGGTGGAAAAATTTCTTCCCAAATATATGTATTTCATTGCACAGCAAAACTACCCAAAAGGTGAAATTGCAAAATTTAGTATTTTATCTACTTTTGGTTGACTGAAATGAATTGCATAAAAAGAAGCTAAGGCAACAGTCCAGGAATAAAGACACTTTTGGGAAATACTAAAGAGAATATATTTGCATGTCATTTAATAATATAACAAACAAACATGACCTAGAATGCCTTCCAAATAAATCTGGATTTATTTGAAACAAGGATTGCAAAAGTCAGCCTTTTTTGTTCTGAGAGCACTATGCATCTATGAAGTAACTAAAATTATGAAGAATTCAAACCATTTCTAAAACACAATTTTGTGAATTAATGTATGTAAAAAATGTAAAAAAAAATTTTTTTTAATTGGAATTTAGATTATTTATGTGTGTATACCCATGCATAAACACTTCTATATTTAATATACTGATAAATATTTTTTTGAACAAGATAAGCTCAAATAGCACTATAATAATATCCTTAAACATATGGAAGATGACTGTTACAGGAAACCTTTTTTTATGGAAAAAAGCTTATTTTGAAGGCTTAATGGCATGATGTGAAAACTCATTACAGAACTAGGTATGTGGAGCAAGATTTGAGCAATGGATGCTTCACAATCACTGTTTCTGTCTTAGGATCAGTGCAAGAGAGCCACACTGCCAACAGCATAAAATATTGAGCACTTGGCAGTTTGAGTGAGAAAAGAGTGCTGCAAGGGCATTTTCCACAAGTCACACAAATTTAGCATCTAGTTAGCACAATATATGCTCTTCTCTCTCTCTAAAAACATTATTAACCAGTTTGAAAATGCACATTTTCTCTTTTAAAGACTTATGTATTGTTGCAGGAAATATTAACCTGTCCCACAAATTGATAGCAAATATTTATTGAAGAAACATACAATAGAACTTGTTCTGCATTCAGACAAGGAACTCACTTCAGTCATTATTCTTCGTAAAGAAAGCTACTGGACCTAATTTTACTCAAATTGTGACAATATGTGTTATATTGGAGACATAGAAGACACTAGATTTTTCTGTCATTTCACTTGCATTTCAGTAAGACTTAAGAAAAAACTCTAAAATCATGGAGGAGTTTATTATCTGATCGAGCTCAGATGGAGAATATCTGAAACTCTGCCAGGAACATCCAAAACAATGTGTGAACTACTGTTTTCTAAAAGACATATGCTTTGATTTATAAGGCAAGTTTGAAAACAAGTAACACAGAGTACTGTGTGAAAATGAGGAAAGAACAGGACTTACTATTTATTTCTCCTCTCTCCCTATCACATCACTAAAATAAATATGAGCATGCCTGGCTACAGAGCAGTAAAGACTGCATTTTAGACTTAAATAAGCGATGAGCTTTTAATATGAATCACTGAATTATAGGTTTCATAAAATAGTTTCCACAATACCTGAAAGGCATCCTGATGTTCATTCTTTCTGCATATTTGCACAATGTCTCCCATGGACAGTGAATTTTAACGAACATGATATCACTGTTGGTAACAGCTGGCTGTAAAGAGCAGTAACATGCAAATACATATTAATAATTTAAACCTATAGCAACCACCCTTCTAGAAGCATTCTTCACGGTCAAATTCTAATTTTAGGCCCAAATTGGGCATGCAGCTCTGAAAATAACTGCTCTTCTGGACAAAGGAAAATCAGTAACCTTTTCCCCTTACAAACTCTGTAGTATGTGTAGATTAGTGGGACAAAAGGAATCTGTAGGGAAAGATCTTTGGTCATGACCATAAGTAAAGACCTTTTTACATGGAATAAATTTTACATAGAATTAATTTTAAATCTAAAAAATATCACCTTAGGTAAGCAGGTTGAAGACCATTCAGTGTGTCTCCAATTAAAGGAGAAGTGTGGTCAGCTGCTAGAGACATGAGCAGAGATGAGAGAAGGCTCCAGGTTGCACTCTGCCAAAATGGTAACTCAAGGGTAATGGTTTAGTAATTGAGATATCTGCTGGGAACTTTTAAATGTGCATGAACTGAGATGTTTTTTTGATAAAATCACAATGTGTACTCTACACAAATGTTTTTCATCACTAATTTATTTGCACATGAAACAAGAGTTTCAGCCTTACAAACTTCTATATTCATCTCCTCTTATGAACACTTCAGTTACCCACCCTTCTCCCAGATGTATTTGCTTGAGATTTTATAACTAGATATTTTGATATTTGAGTTGAGTCTGATTAAAGCCTCCAAAAACTTGAGTTTGCAAGGTTTGGTAAGTAAAGGTAAAAGAAAATGTAGTTAAAGTGTTAATAACACTTTAAATGTTTACAATTTTACCAACCAGTTCCATCAAGTCATATCACAATTCCAAACTACAAGCTCAAATATTTTACTTTCTCAAAAGATGTGGCTAAAATAAAATATTTGTGGAAAACAAAACATTTCAGGTCTTCTAAAACCATTTGTTTCTGAATGTCAATAATTCTGGACTGACAAAAGCTAAGATTTTACTATTTATTCAAATTGGAAGAAAAGTAGATATCTTTACTACTGTACTGTAACAAGTCCTAAAAGCCTTAAACCCATATTTTAGTCAGGTTAGTTATTTATGAATATTCAACATGCTATATATTGTGAGCTATATCTTGCAAGCTCATTGCTTAAACACACAACATGTATTACAATTCTACTGAGATGAAAAATCAAAACACACATGAACAATAGGAGCTTACATTAGAATAAACTAAATATATACCTGTTCTTAAAGTAATTTATGAGACAGCAAAAATCCAAGGCTGTTTCCCTTTCCCTGGCTCTATTTTCTTTCAATTTTTATATTAATACTACTATTAGTAGCCATGGGTTAACCAGAACAATGTCAACCTTAACCCCTTGAAAAACAGTGAGACATTTAACATCAGGCATTCTGCTGAAAGACACAGAGGTTATGTATTAAAGCAGCAACATGGCTTACTGAAGCTGCTTCTGTTCTGCAAGTGTAAGAAGCTGGAACTTTTCCATTTGTACTGCACTACACTTCTGTGTACCTTCTTTATCTTCTTTATCATCTGTATTCCCAAATAATTTTAAACACACACTATGAAAATATTCTTTTTATTAGTTTAATACAGTTAAGCAGATGATGGGAGCAGCCTGACTGGAAAGGCTTGTAATTGTGTCTGAAATCTTTTATCAGTTCAGTAAAGTATGATACTATTAGAAAGGATTTTTTATGCCACATAAGCTACAGGACTCACCTCTCGTTCTAACATCAGCCCTTCTGCTCTCAGATTCTTCTCAAATGTGCTTCTTTTTTCTACCTGTGGACTTGATTTCTTGTAGACCAAGATGTAGTCAATGCGCTTTTTGCCATCTTTGAAGAAGAGTCCTGATGATACCATGGCATCACTCTAGCAAACATTAAAGAAAAATACTCTAAATATTGCACTTATAAAGATGAAGAGCCCCATCATGAACTGTATATAACACAGCACTTCCTAAACTACAGAAATAACCACATATCTGAAGGAGGAATATGCATCAAATTCAGAACAAAAAAGTGATATACATCAGTTGCTCAGGACTGTAAATTAATTAGAACAAAACAAAATAAAATAGCTTCACAGAACCCATATTCCAGTTATTTCAGCTGTGCAAAAACCTTAAAATTCTTGTATGGTGTGTATTGATATGAACTTTTTTTAATCCCTACTTTCAAGTGGGAATTAAAAAGAAAAAATAAAGTCAAGTCAATTAAAGCAATTTTCTCAGCTTTGTACTTGTCCAAATTTTATAGAGCGAACATATTTGTATTTTTTCCAAGATAGACATAAATCTAAAAAATTAAAAAAGAAATGCTATTGATCAGAATGGTTGCATGGATAGTCTAGTTGAAGTGCTTTTTCAATACCATGCTAGTAATGTTTAAATCTTGATTACTTCCTTCCCACCATGCTTGCAAAGACAAGGAATTACCTGACCTTGTTATGGAAAACCCTGCTTTACATGCTGCTGCTGCTGCTAAAGCAAGCTATTTTTGCACTCTGTGCTTTGCATGATTCAGAACAGAAACCAAACCAACAGGTGACAGACTACAGAATCATAGAATCATTAGGTTAGGATGGACATCCAAGATGATTGAGTCCAACCAAACACCACCTTGACAACTAAATCACAGCACTAAGGGCCACATCCAGTCACGTCTTGAACACTTCCAGAGATGGTGACTCTACCACCTCCCAGGGCAGCCTGTTCCAATGCTTAACTTAATCCTTTCAGTGAAAAAGTTCTTCCTGATGTCCAATCTGAGTGGACTCCCCTGGTGCAATTTGAGGCCATTTCCTCTTGTCCTGTTGACTGGTAGAGGAAGCTAACCCCCATCTTGCTACAATCTCATTTCAGGTAGCTTTAGAGAGAAGAAAGGACTCCTATTTGGATTGTTTAGATATGAAATTTATAATACTCAGAGTTATACTCAATAGGGACACTCTCTATTCATAAATAGAACCATGTATCAGTGCATGATATCAGCATTATAAATACTGGATACCAGCTCACTTGCTTCTATGTGAAAGGTTTTTCTTACGCCCACATCTTTCACTGCCAGCTTTCTACACATTTAGCACTTCTGAGAACTCCTCAGCCTGCAAAACCTAAAGCATTCTAACAAGATTCTTCCTCCTTCTCTGCTTTTTTAACTCCAAAATAAGAAACAAAACCAGTCTGTCTCAGACCATCTACCATTACAAGGGAGTGTACCATCTTATACCTGGGAACATTAAGTACATTAAGCTTCAATTTAGAATCACAGACCTTTAAGATCACTGAGACCAAGCATTCACCCAGCACTGCCAAACCCAGCACTACACCATGTCCCCAAGGGTCACATTACACATCTTTAAATACCTCCAGGGATGGGGATTCCACCACTTCCCTGTGCAGCCTGTTCCAATGCTCAACCACCCTTTCAGTGAAGAAATTTTCCCTAACAGCCAATCTAAACACATCCTGGTTTAACTTGGGGATGTTTTATCTTGTCCTATCACTTGTTATTTGGAAGAGACTGACCCCCATGTGGCTGAAACCTCCTTTCAGGTAGTTGTAGAGAGCAGTAACACTCTGCCTGAGCTTCCTTTTCTCCAAACTCATAACTCCAGCTTCCTTGTGCCCTGGCTCCCTCTTAGAAAACACACCATCACCTCAATATCTTTCTCCATATTCAGATAAATAATATCTGAAATCCAAATTAAGGTAGTTGAGAGTGTCAACCAAAACTGTTAGTGCAATGAATACAGGGTCTGTCACCCCTTCTAAGAATTCTGAATGGGAATGGTAATAAAAACATTTTTTTATTATTATTTTTTATAATGTTACAGATTTAATTATCTAAATCTATAAGATGCAGAGATTTGAAGGTGAGGTAGTAGACTGAAGGTTCAAAAGTGCAAGTTTGAATATGCAAGTTTTTAAAACACAAACTTTTTCAGGTTCAAGACATGAGCAACCAATCTGCTCTTCAACAATTTTTAATTTTAAATACAGATTCCTGTACAAGTATTTTACAAAACCAGACCAGGGCTGCTTTTATGCACAATCAGATACAAAAAGCCTGGCCAAAACTCCCCCAAAGGGGAGATCTGGAACTTCTCTAATGCATTTTCTGCTCATTCAGTTTCTGTACAGGCATGCTGCAAATTGCATCTACCTTTTGTAATACACTTCTACTACTTTTCATTGGATTATTATTTCTAGTCTTTCTTTCCTTATTTCTGAAACATCTGATTTTCTTCAATCTTAGAAAAACATGCTTTATTTCTTAGATTAATGACAGTAGCCAAATATGACCTCAGATTCGTCAACATCAAACAGAAATTTTTGGGGTCAATGTTAAAGACACAATGAGCAGTGAAGACAGTAGAAAGAAATCTTCTATCCCTGTTCATCCCAGACCATTTTCAGTGAACAACCCCCTCAGGTTGAGAAGTGCAATAGTAAGGCCACTTATCACATCCATGCAGTGAGCCTGACCTATACTACACTGATTTCATGACTGATTCATTTTAATGCTACTGGCACCATTTGTTTCACTTTTGTGCTATTCACAACCAATGCTGACCACCTATATTAGCAGTAATATGGTAATTAATTAAGCAATTAAGTATCAGGAAAAGAATTTATATGGTTGATTTGTATGGATGATTTAGTTGGGTTTTTTCAGTTGATCTGAAGGAGCTTCATAACATGAAAGGACAACAGGGAGCAGTAATTTCAATTAAACATGTTAGTCAGGGTGTATTATTTATACCTAGCACAAGGAACCTGCTTTTAGTACAGGGGGCATTCAGGCACAGATCATTTATTATTTATCATTTATCTGCTGGTTTGGACCAATACATTAAACCATTCTTTCACCTTTTTCAACAGAAAAAATGATCAGAAAAGGAGAAAAGCATCAGGAGAAATATTTTGTGCAAAGACCTTATTCTCCTCTACTCTGTTTAAGATTTCCTGTTTCACCTGAAAAATGTGTATAAAAAGACTAATCAACATTCCCTTATCCTCTCCATCCACTCCACCACCTTATTCCTCCAGATTTTCTGAAACAGTATCCATCTGTTAAGCTTTCTTACATTTACACATATGAAAACTCATTTGTTTTGAAAAACTCATTTTAGAGTACTGCAATATAGTTCAGATAGTAAACTCTACAATTTAACTTCATCTTGTTCTTTCAAAGTTTTTAAATAGAAGAACTTCAACCATGAGACTGTGAGGTACCACTTCAGTCAAGCTTGTTCATTATGCAGAATTATTATACACTTGTTTGCATCAGAGTAAACTATTATCTGAGGCTTTGATATTATAGATCTGCTGCTGTTTCTTGTTTTTATTATGTGTCAACAGTTTTAGTTGCTTCATAGCTTGTGGTTAGTAAAACAAATCACATGACACTCTGCTTTGAAGTTTGAAAGTGCAAGATTCAAAACACTGCCACTATCATTCAACTGGTTTACACAAGGCAAAACACACTGACCAATTTATCCTAGGAAAAGGAGTTTTGGCTCAAGCAAAAAAAAACCAGGTGGAAGTACAATGCAAATATTTACCAAAGCTGTATTATAAAAGAGTTTATATTTCCATTCAATTGTATAAAAAGAAATTCCTTGGATTTAGCCAACATGGAGGGATTTTCAATAAACTATTTTTCAGATTCTAATTAATTAGCAATGCCCTTTTTACTAAGTGGGAGCATCTGATTTACTGGATCTTTCTATCCTCAGTTAATTTAAGTAGCCCAATTCACAGTAATTGTAACAATTTCAACTTCTTTTATGTCTCTGTTGTTCTGATCTATAAATTAAACTTCTATCACTTTTTCATACATAGAAACAAGTATTTCTCAAGAGTGAGTTGAAACCATTCTCAAAACAGGAGCAAATTTTAGATTAATGTAAGAGTAAATTACATGGTATTCACTGTATCCTAATTTAGTAGTATGTTTTCTTTGTTTTCCACCTTATAAGGGTAAAAAGTTTAAGACAGTGAACAATATGCATTACTTATGTAAATTTAGAGGTTAATGAGAACCACACAAAGGTACAATGGATATGTTGGAACCATTTATTTCACCTTCATTCCACCACTGACAACTCTCCTCAAAACTAACATGACAGCAAGGCTTAAAGGCTGACAAAAGCTCTATAGTTGTTTACATTTTAATGAATTTTAAGAAAATTCCCATCCACTTGTTCACATATTTGCAGCTTAAACCGTGCAACAGTTAAATATCAAGTACATTCAAACCACTATGAAAGGTTCTAATTTGTTTATACATTAAAAGTACTGCCTAGGAGAGGAAAAAGCAGGATATTTCCTTCTACCACCTGCCCAGAGTTCAGCCAATGTCAGCTCAGATTTCTATACAACTTTAATTTCAATGAAATTAAAACACATTTACTTCAGTAACACACTGTCCAGCAGCCCCCAAATCCATACAATCTTTTAAAACCCAAAAGACCTCTGGTAAGGATTTTCCACATCTAATTTCTGGGAGAACTGCTTTGCTCTTCTTTGTTTTTAATTTGGGACAAATTTGCTTTATTTGATGCTTCATGGCTGTAATTCTACAATGAAATATGTATGGTTTCTTAAGCTGTGTAGAAACTTCTCATTACTTTAATAAAATTGATGAAACTTTTTTACTCTAATATCCCCTTAAATTTACTGTACCCCTAAGGTATATTACAAAAATGAAAAATCACTATGTTTAAAGCAATCACTATTCCTCTTTTCCCAAACATGTACACTCCTCCATTTACAACAGACTTTTTTACTAAATTTGACAATTAGCTAGTCAGACATGACTATTAACATAAAATATGAATGTAGATTAAATACTACTACATAAAAA